TTGGAAAGGTTTTCCTTGCTGCAGGGTGTAGTGGCAGTTCTGTGTGTAATGAACATGGAGAAGAGAAGCAGGAGGGTTGGTGCTTATGTCATCCTTGCCTTTAGTCTGAAGACCACATTTCTTTTGGTCTCTTTCTAGATTTCTGGCTGGTTTTGTGTTTTTTTCTTTGAACTTTGTCCAGCTGACCCACAGCTCTTGGGGGATGCCCAGGCTTAGACACAGCACTCCAGTGCTGCATGGAGAAAGGAGAACCTTGTGTGCCTTCAGACTGTCCTTATCCCTGGGGATCCCCCTGTGATGTTTGTCCTTTTGGAGTCTTGGGGGATATTTTTGGTAGTGTCCCATTATTCCTGATGAGTTGTGGTTGGTTTTCCTCTTCCATAGTGGCCTCTGGGTTGTCCTCACATTCCTCTCTATTATTGTGGTGGTGGTTTTATTAAACTTGATAAACGTGGGTGACATTAATCAAGAACTGGTTAGAACTAAACCCCATTCTTTTATTTGGTTCTGGCTGACCACCCTTTGTTCTACTTCTTGCACTTCTTGTGAAGCTTGAAACAAGGTTTTAGACAGCAATTTGCTAAATTTACTGTATTTCCTACGACTTGATTGTCCCACAGTCCTGCTGCCTGAGGAGGGTGTCATCATGAGCATGTTGGTCCTGCTCCAGTGTAGTGGTTGCTGTTGGCTTCTCCCACTCCCTCCATAACTCAGCAGCGTGCAGTTTTTCCTGCCTGCTTTGTTGAATTGTGTTACTAAACCCTGGTAAACAGATTTCTGTGAGAAGTGGCTGCAGTTCAGTGGTGGATGAAATAATCTCTTTATATAAATTTGTTTGTAGACCTCTGGGAAAACCAGCGTAATATAATTGTAAGAATATATTTAATATTAAGGTTGTTGTGAATTGTCTTTTTAAAATATCATTTTTGTTGGTTTTTTTTTTTGTCCTGTGTTTTGTGACAGTGATTGAAGTTTGCCATTTGCAGACTCCACAGATTGGGATGAAGAGGGTGCTCAGGTTGTGAGGAGCAAATTGGGAGGGGTCAGTTGTACTGGTTAGGTGCTTTGACTTCTTGCAGAAGTACAACCAATTGCTATTTTGCAAGAATTTGTAAAATGTCTGAAGATCATGCTCTCCTTCAAGGGAAAACCCATGGTGGTGAAGACCACATAGAACTGCAGCACTCTTACATATTCCTGTTCCATTTAGATCATGGTTGAGACAAAGAAAGCCTGTGTTGGTCATTTGTCAAGAGGAGACAATGTTTGTAGTTCCTGCTGTTCAATAGAACTTAACCCTCATTTGCAAATATTAAAAATAAGTTACATCTGCTTTAAAAATCCACAGTTTCTTGGATTAGGAAATTTTCTACTGTGAAGCCTCCTTTAAAAATCATAACTGTATGATTTGTTGGTATATGTATTTTTCTATTAAAAAAAAAATACCACAAGCTTGAAAAGCAGTATATATGTAAAGAGAAAATTTGTTAACTGATATGGGAAGATCTAACCCTGGGTCACCTGCAAATCTCTCAAACAAGAGCTTCGGGGCAAGTCCTAATTCCAGAGAGAAAAAGGGAAAATTAAAGCTAGAGCTTGTGACTCCTAGAAGTTACCCGGGGTGGATTCATTTGAGTTCCACTGATTGTGGCTGTGAAGATAATGTGAAAGGGATGGTAGAGGTCTTCTCAGCCACTTCCCGTCCAGAGTATCTCCATGGAGACAGAAATATAACCTGATGGTCTGTCAAAAGTTGCTTTTCATAACCAGAGGCATTCATTAAATAGTAGATGAAGCAAGGAGGCAAACTTTTGCGTTTTTAACCAACCTTAAAAGAAATAAACCATTTGGAGAATGTGCTTTGTGGAGTGGTTTATCCAGATACCACTGTTATTTCACAACCTGAGAAACAGCCTGTTAATGTGATGGATTTATTTATCATTTGCCTTGCTTCTTCAAATTATAAACTGTCACCTGCAGTAAGGAAAATGCAGCAAATAGAGGTTTTAAAATACCAAATAGCTGATTGAATTCTGTAGCTTCACACCGTTTTGGTGGCGTGTGAAAAGCGTGCAGAACCTCCTGACCAGGGATGGATGGGCAGGGGTCACACACATTCTTCTGGCCTGCCCAAGGGAATGTGTTGGTGGTGGAAGGGTTGAAGTGACTTTTCTGAGATGAGAATGATGCTTTAATGAGCACATCAAAGCGTTCCTCACTACTCTTAAAACGCACACCGCGTCTCCCTGTCCTCCTTGCCAGCAGGATTTTGGGTCGTGCCACTGCTACCATTTGCTATTTAACATTCTTCATGGAAAGCATAAGGGAATGCCAGTGACATGTCCTGATCCCCAAGTTTTTTGGGGTAGCAACACCACATGCTCAAGGTTTTAAGCTGCAGCCACAGCACCAGGACCCCTCATGATGAGCCTGCCTCCTAAACTTATCTCCCAGCAGTGCAGGAAAAGCAGACAGTTAGGGAAGGAAAACCAGGAGCGTGGGTGAACAGGAAGATAAAACATTTTATGTTGAGTACTTTTAAAACTGTTCTTAATGTGCTATAAAACTGGATGCTTCACTTTTTCATGAACTGTGTGCAGGAGGAGAAGCACCGACTGTAAAGTTGTCGTCGGTTAGGTTTGGTTTATAGTTGCAGGGGCTGCCCAATAATGTGAGCTTGGAAAAGGTAAACAACATAGTTTTAACAGTGAAAAATATGCCTAATATAAATACAACGAAGTTCATTGCTGTTCAGAACTTGAAAAATATGACTGTAACGTTGCATTTTCTAGTGGAGTTAACAGAGGAGCACAGTGCTGCCTTCCCAGCACTCTATCTGAGGACGAGAAAATAGGTAATACATCTAACTGGGGAGTCTCTGTGGCATTCGCGTGGAGGAAAGCACAGTAGCTTTATTTAATTGAGAAAATGAATCAATTACAATGATGTTGCATCATCAGAGGCAAGGGGAAAATAGCAGGTATGTCATTACTTCGGGTAACAGCGTTAAAAAGTAATCGAGCGTCTTAAGCGTTTTGAATCGATTCCAGGTACTGGCACCGCCACCTTAATGCAAAATTTATGAAGATGATCTCAAAATAATGTGTCGCCATCATAACTGTGTCATAAAAGCTGATAAGGCCGTGTGTGGGAGCCCAGGTCTCTCCCTTGGCAGGGGCTGGGCCGTGTCACGGGAGGAGTTCCGCAGTCCTTGGGTGTGCGTCGCTTTGTTTTGCATTAGGAGCCCTGAGCGCCTTTATTAGAAATAATATTTTAAGTCTGTTTCTGAAACGGGATGTAATCAGATCTGCATTGAGGCTACTCAGTATGATCCCACCTCTGTTCATTTTCATCACAAGACCTGTTTTCCCCGGGAAGGAAATGTGCCTGATACTCTGTTTGGGTGAAAAACTGAATTGCCTGCTCGTGAGCACTAATCTAAAGGAGCTGGGAATCATCCCTATTGAATAAGCTGAGTCTGTTTTGTCATTTAGCATCTGGAAGTGAAGTACCAAAAAAAAAGCCTTTTTATATCCACAGAGTATTTTGCTTATTAGCAATAATGCGAGGCAGCGAATTTATTCTGTCAAATTGTAAGAGATTGACATTGACCATTAAAAAAATATAATGCTCTACTGCTAACTATTTATTATTTTCTATTCCTTTGAAAAAAATAGAATTCTATGTGGAAAATTTATGTATATTTGCATGGTACTAATAGAATAATGAAAGACTTCATGTGCATAATACCAGCTATTTTCTTGGTGCTGGTTTTCCACCTCCTCTATATCCCATTTTACTACCTGTAAAGTATTACTAGAGGATCCTGCCTCTGGCTGGGTACTGAGGGAAAGCGCTTCCAAAGCTGATGGCAGCCCTGCAACATTCATCATCGTGGCACTATACAACAGAGAATATGAAAAGCAAGGGGCAAGCCAAACAAACTGTGTTAGAACAGAAGACAACGTTCTCGCTAAGGAGCACGTTCTGTTCGCAGCGTGATGGAGTTGGGTTGTGCACAACTTTGTGTCTGTTCAGGAAAAATACGTCGTTAATTATCCACACCCATTAGGAATGGAGTGCATGTAGAAACGATGGCCACGCCGGCGTCCCCAAATTCGGTCAGATGTTCTGCATCAAGTACCTGCTCTGTGCTTGGCATTTCATTGTTTCCATGATCATTCTGCCTTTGTTTCTTTTTGTAATGGAAAAAATCAGCCAGGATATTTTTGTAGCTCGCTGTCAGCCATCCAATGGTCTCGTTTTTACAAACTGTTAATTAATTTCCCAACCAAAGTGATGTTAAGAAACTCCAGAAAGGCTGGGAGACGACTGATGACAAGTCTTGCCTTTGCCATTTAGAACGCCACAAAGTTCATCAAACTTTCCAGCCTCACAGATGGCAATGCTCTGCTGATAGTCAGAGTAAAACTGGGTTGGAATGTGTAAGAAAGTTGGGTAAAAGTGGAGTATTAAAGGCTTTCCTGAGCAGCAGTAGATACTTCAACCACATAATTAAAGTTTTCTCCACAAAAAAAAAAAGGGATTGTGAGCAGAGTCTGGCAGCAATCCAAAATTCTAATTTCTGACTATGATTTAATTTCAATTTTAAATAAATCGGTTTTTAATTTAAAAAGAGTGAGCTTCATAACATTAGCAATGATTGCAACATTAAGCCCAGTGTTCACAATCTAGCAATATAAAACATTATTTATATCTGAATCGTAAACAGCCTTTTGAAATGGATTATGGTTTTTCTTCCTATTCTAATACAACCTGGAGGGTACTAAAAAGTGTTGTGTGAAATTAACATTCTGCTGACTTTCGCCTATAAATGAGAAGCGAGCTATTAACATTTGTGTATTTTCATTATGTAAATTGTGTTAACACATGCCCACAAATTGCCACCAGCGATGCAATAATTTTCTCTCAGTGATCATAATGTGTCCAAGTGAGTCATTTTGATTATGACATGCTAATTACATATTGCCTTTTTTCAGATTCAGAAAAACCAGGGATCTTTAATGGTAAGCTTTATGAGTTCAGAAAAAAATTCACTTTTCTTTTTCCTGATGGCTGCTTCCTCTGCATGCTTGAATGCCTTGTTTTAAACTTAGCAAATTGCATTTTGAAGAAAATGCAAACCTTTAACTGCCTGTATTAGATTAGGTACCATTAGAAATAATAGAACATCCTGAGCATCAATGTTTTTATAAGAGTTTGCTGCTGTTGATTAATCTTGCTATATTTTATTGCATTAATGATTTTTTCTTTCCACTCCACTGTAAAGATATTGCATATAGGCTAATACTTTTTCCCTCTCTTTCCATTGCAGCCTCTCCAGTTATTGCAGTGCATTGTTGATGAGGTGAGTCGTCGTCTTATGTGCTTTCACTCCTAAAGTCATTCCTAATGGAGTGGAAAGCTTATATTTTGTTTCCTAATGAAGCACAATGCCCAACATCCTCCGAGCACAAGTTGCCTTGTGCAGCTCGGAGCTGTCGAACACGAACTGGCCTTGTCCCACTTTATGCTGTTTTTCTACTCTGAATATTGAGCCCTGGAAAGAATGGATTGTCTCAAAGGCTCGTCCTTTAGCTATTTAGGCCCTAAAGCCTCAACCTGGTTGGGTGTGTTGATCCCTCTGCACGTGCCAGATGAGTTGGAACGGAGACGTTCAAGTGGCAGCACTCTTCAGAGTGGGCAAATTTAATGCAGTTTAGGTAGGGGAAAAAAGGTGGTTTGCTAAGGAGGAAGAAGCAAAGTGTGAGCAGGAGAGGATCTAAATGTCATCTGATCGTTTTTATTTTATCAGAAGGACAAAGTAAAGAGCTGAGGTGCAGGAGATCCAGGTGTGAAGAGCAGATTGAATTTTGGTGGCTAACATCACATTTTGTGATGGAAACGCTTCTCTGCAGCTCCCATCTCCCTTCCCAAACTGAGGTGTAAACCTGTGTCCCAACTCTTGACAGTGAAGCAATAGCTGAGAGCAGAGTGCTGTCAGTTCTGCGTGTTTTAATTACCAGTTAATAAGATGATGTTGGCAATCCAGAAGTTCAAATGAGAGCAAAAAACAAAACTTTTTAAAGACTTTCCCCAGCCTCTAGCAGAACGTCATTGGTGGATCCTCAGGTTGGGTTTGCTGGGTGTTGACGTGTCCATTCAGCTGCTTCAGCCTGTCCCATGTAACATCTTTATTTAGGTTGATGTAAACTCACAGCCAGGGAGGTGCTCTGTCCTGGTTGTATCTCCACCTGTAGCTTCTACTCATATGAAATGCTAAGTCCTCCACTTCTACCTGTGGTGAACACTTTTGTCCTTTGATTAGAGAATGACTCATTGACTTAGCTGAACTTCTTAAAAAGTGACAGATGGGCCTTCAGGGATGCAATTAAATTAAAATGAGGTGGTATCCTTTGTGTAAAGGAATGTTCTCCTGGTCCTCCAGCAATGCTAGCTCTTTTACTTGGCAATTTATTGTGGTCTGGTTCTTTAGGAGGTTTCTAGGTAGTTCTACTTCTCTCATCTTTTTCATCCATTGTTACCCCTGTTTCTTGCATCTTGGGTCAAGGCATGGAAATGCCAAAGCACCAGTGCTGTGTCTGCTGGCAACAAAAGGCCATCTCTGTCCTAAAGTGGTGCAAGTCAGGGCAGTGGGGGAATCCCCATCCCTGGAGGGATGTGGTAGATGTGGTGCTTGGGGACATGGTTTAGTGGGGAACTTGGCAGTGGTAGGTCAGTGGTTGGACTCAATGATCTTAGAGGTCTTTAAGCAAAATAATTCTATGATTCTAAGGAAGTTAAGGTAAAGATGCTCATATTTATGGTTGTGTTTTGCTACTGCTTGACAAATTACCTTTAAGTGGATTGGTACTGATGCCTCTATGTAAGCTCAGTATTTGAAAAGAGAGCCCTGAAGAGCTCTGTGTTACAGTAGAGCTTCCTGCAGCTATCATTCTCTTCCTAAAGATTAGAATTGCTCCAATCTCCTTCCAAAAACTGTGAGAATTGAACTTTGTGGAGGTGTGTATTGTCAGGGGGTCGTTTAGTAAGCTATAGAGCACTTGGACAGCAGCTACCACACCTGGAAGTGTGAATTCTTGGCATGATGGCATCTTGGAGAACGTTTGTATGAAGAGAACATTCTGTTCTAGCTGATGGGTAGCATTGACTTCAACAGATCCTCCTGCCACCCCAGACCTGCCCTGTGCACAAAGACCTCAAAGCAAAACGTGTTTAACTTGTGGCTATTGGTTTTTTCCCCTCCTTGCTTTGTCTGCTGTAAGATTTGCCTTCTGGGGAGTATCAGAGGGACCTGCATGGCTGGGTGATGCACACCATCCCTTCCACACCAGGACCTTTAGAGAGGGAGAGTCTTGTTACTAGCTGGTACTCTACAGCTGTTGTTCCTACCATGAGTATTAAGGATTAGAAATGCTTAGTGTTGCAAAACTGATGATTTTGGGTCAAATTTTCCCCTTGGCTGTAAAGAAGTCCTAAAACTCACAGGAGGTGGGAGCAGAGCCCCTCTCCTGCAGCTGTGCTGTGCAGCCTGTCCCCACAGGAAGCCCCAGATCCTGATGCAGAATTCCCCACCCACCATAATGACGATCAGAACAGCGAGGGGTGACAGTCTGTAGCTCACAGATCAGGAGCAGCAGTGCTTCTGTAATGGCATGGCTTCTGGAGGAGCCATGATGTCACAGGGTATGGGAGGAGTAGCTCTGCAAGGGTGGGACCAAGCTGCCTCAAGGTCTTTGATCCCCATGTAACTTCATGCCATAGTAATAATCTTTGGGTGTTGTTGCAGTTGAAAACTCTGGGTGCAGTGCTGGGCTCCCCAGTTCAAGGGAGACCAGGAGCTACTGGAGAGAGTCCAGTGGAGGCTGCAAAGCTGCTGAGAGGCTGGAGCATCTCTGTGCCAGGACAGGCTGAGAGCCCTGGGGCTGTGCAGCTGGAGA